CCTGCCTGCCCTCCCGCGTGCTCTCCGGCAGCCGGCTCTGTGGTCGCCGCCTGGTACGGAATCCCATGCTGTCCAGATCTGTGTGTTGGGTATGACGATGGTGGCGTTCAGGGTGTAGAACTGTGTCTGCAGCCCTCCCTCACCTGCCCCCCCTCCACGCCTGTGGGGCCATTTTATGTCTCATGTTCTCGATCAGATTGGCAGGTTTCCCACTCTGGCCTTCCAGGCCTCGCATCTCCTGGTAGGGTCACGTGGCCGGGTCTAGGCGGAGCCGGGCTCGGCTGCGAGCAGATCATTTCCCTAATGATGATGGGAGAAATGGCTCTGAGGATTGAGTGTCATTACCTCATTCTCCACGCGGCCAGAAGCAAGCTCTTCAAAACCCTTTTCAAAGAGGCATTAGAATCTTCTGATGAGAGACACAATAGCTGACAGGTTATTTTCACCTGCTCTTCAGTCTGCGCCACAGGCAAAGAGGAGGCATTAGCACCTGGAGAGGAGGCTCGGCGTGGCCCCGAGCTGCATTAAATCATCCGCACCCCGCCAGCTCTGTCAGGTCACGGGAACCGGTCGCCACAAACTGGGGGCAGCGTGGCCTGCTCTGTTCGGGCCGTGTGCAGCTGGGCTGTGGCAGTGCTTTGCCCCCGCCCCCCCAAAACACCACCAGGAGCAGGTTTTCTGCCCCAAACAGTATCGACTTGGGTTGCGTTTAAAGCATTGTGGCATAGAGTCTTGTAAGCAATGCTACGACGTTGGACGTTGTTTCATTGTAGGTTGTTTCATTGTGTGTCTTAGTGACTCAGAGAAATGCGGTGCTGTTACTGGAGGAAGTTTTGAGGGTAGAAAATTCGGAAGTTTAAAAATATTTACATATTTTGAAAGAAACAGCTTTACCATCCTCGCTTAAAGTAAATGGTTGTACGTGGCTAGATTTCTATCAAAACTCCTGTGGTTTGGGGTTTAGGGGAAGTTGGGACCTGGTAGTGACCCAGAGGTCACACCGCTCCTGCCCGCCTGCCCCGCTCCTTCCTGGCACCCCCTGTCCCCCCCCCCCGCCGCCCACTGTCAGTCCTGTTTCTCTGACACACACGGGGCCCTAGGCTGCCTCTAGAATCTCTAGAAGCTGAACACACAGGATGCCTCCGCCCACCCGAAGTGTGGCGGCCCACACCTGGCCTCCCAGCTACTTAGGAGGCAGAGATCAGGAGGTTTGTAGTTCAAGACTGAGCACGCAAGGTCAGTGTGGTGTTCAGGAAGCATGGGGGGAGAGGGCTTGTGTGAGGCCGGCCTGTGTGGCCAGTCTCAGCAGCCCACACTTCCTCCGCGTGTGTGACACGCCAGCTGCCCCGCCACCACGACTGTTCTTTTGGAAGAGCTTTGCGTGTGGGTGCGGCCGGGCCGGGCCGGGCCGTGGTGTTTACCATGTCCCTGCTCTTTCAGGCAAGCCAGAGCCATGTACTCCTGCAAGGCCGAACACAGCCACGAGCTCTCCTTCCCTCAGGGGGCGCTCTTCTCCAACGGTGAGTGTGGGGTGCCACCCCCATGGGGCGCGCCGGGCGGGCGGAGGGCCTGGAGGAGAAGCAGGGAGCCCCAGGTCCTGCTCCTCACTCTGCGTCCTAAGCAAACCCATCGAATCCTTGCAGACGCCCTCCTCCCCCGCCGCGGGCAGCGCGTGGTTGGGTGTGTGTGTGCACGCGTGTGTGTGTGTGTGTGTGTGTGTTCCCTGCCTCTCACCTGTGTGTGATGAATGTAAACACAGCGCCTGCAGCACACACCGTGTGTGTGTGTGTGTGTGTGTTGCGTGGACGTCCGTGTGAGGATGTCTGTGTGCGCATTCCAGTCCCTCTGGCTTCCCAGCCCGGTTCGCAGCCGGCCCTCGCTGACACCTTTCCCGCCTCTGCTTTGCCAGTGTACCCCTCCGTGGAACCCGGGTGGTTGAAAGCTACCTACGAAGGCAAGACGGGACTCGTCCCCGAGAACTATGTTGTCTTCCTCTAGTGCTGCTGCCGGAGCCGGCCGCATCTTCATGGTATCCATGGTAACGAGTAATAAGCGCGATGATTTTATCTGACACAGATAGGAGGACCGGCCCACGAAATGTAAACAGTCAATTTCTATCAAGTCCCACACCAGCAGACTGTGTAGCTCCGTTAATGGAAAAAGGAAAAAACAATATGTTTAGATCACAGCCATTCTTTTATGGCTTGTTCTCTGTCTTGTTTTTAATAACCTGCTTTTTTTTTATAATAAGTAATTTTCTATGATGTTTCCTCCATGACGCTTGTACTCTCAGTTACTGCATTCATGTTCATCGTTATATCCCCTAAAATTCGGAAGCCAGAACTCCGCTGCATGGATTTTGAGCTCGGAACTTCCCGGCCTGGTAGTCTCTGGGGAAACTTGGAATCAGGACTTTAAAGAGTAATTTAAATCGTTCATTTCTTATTTGTCTGTAAAGAAGTACACTTCTTTTGTATGTGATTGTTCTGCTGGTCCTGAACATTTCAAGGTGAGAGAAGTCTGTGTTCTGATGTGAGGTGTTCTGTTTGTTTCAAGTCGACGGCGGTGGCCGCAGGTGGGCACGTGTGGCGTCCGGAGAGCCAGGTGGTGGCGGCATGCTGGAAGCCGCAGGCCGGCCCCGCACAGCTGCTCCGGCTGGGCGGCGGTGGCTCCGTGGTCAGTCCCGAGACTGACGCCCTCCTCCAGAGTTCCCGTGAAACCATCTTCCTAACTGTGAGATTTCATACAGTTTCATGTTAAAACAGACATGCTGACGAGTCCTCCGTACACATCTGCTGGTAACGCCACGGTGACATCGCACGCGTGGACGCGGAGCGTGGGCGGGCACTCGGTGCGGAGTGCAGGGGACGCCTCCTGGCTGGCGGAGACACCCTTCCACACTCGTGACAGGCCTTTCGAAGGGAAGCCGCCGTGTAGATCAGCTCTCGGTTAAGACGGAAAAAGCAATACGGAAGTGCAGGACGCTTGTATTTGATGCACAGAGTTGGACGTTGTGCTGTCCCCTCAGGAGTGACATCCAGATACGATTGTCTGCCATTGAGGTTTTGTCTTTCCTAGGAATTCCACTGACTTTCTGAGGCGTGGAGTGGAGATGCATTTGCTACCCGTTGTTCCTTGGGGACTGCTCACCCGCAGCCCTCCGTGTCAGTAATTCTAATATATGATTTCTGTGAGTCCGTCTGTGTGTCCTGGCCTTTGTCTTTCTGCAGAGCTTTCTCTCCTCCCGGATGCTCTCTGTCTTTGAGTGTCTGCAATCCCAGTTCCTCCTATTTTGACTATTTCTAGATTGAGCGCACACACCACTGTGGCCTGAGAGTTCTTGTGACTTAAATTTGAAAAATGGGTCAGGGTGAACTAGTCAAGTGTAACAGTGACAGGAGGGCGGTCAGTGAATGAATGAATGAGTGAATACATGAATGGAAATGTGGCGGTGGAGGTGTAAGTTAGGAAGGTCCTGGGAAGTGCTGATGCCAGTCTGTCCTCCTCCCTCCCGTCGTCAGCAGTTCCCGCTCATTTCAGTTCCACCTTAAGGCAGAGGTCTCTGTGTAGTTCACCTCTGCTTCTCCGGCATTTTCCAAAATCAAAACACTATCGGTGAGGTCATTTGCCTCCGAGGAGTCTGCCCCGGCCCATCTAGTGTGGGTCACAGGCTCATTCCCAGGGACTCAGCAGCGAGACTCCGTTTCCCACGACCACAGCACCCGGCCATGGCCAGCGTGGTCTTCCTCGGGTACGTGGCCTGGGCTTGGAGAGCGTGGGGCCTGGACAGGAGTGTCGGTCTCGCAGGACGCTGGCTGTGTGCTGGGCATGTGCTGCTGGCGGTCCAGGGGTCCCTTTCCTCATCAGTTCCAGAACAAGGCCACGATGGCGGCCCCGTGTCCTGAACCCTGCGGGGAAATGGACGTCCTGAGGAGCAGGGCCCATGTTGATGGCTGAGGAGCAGAGCCCTGGCCCGGCCCGGCTCTGCGGCACCGTGGGGCGGAAGGAGGCAGAGGACTTGGAGCGATGGCTGTGCCCTGCGGCGTCTCGGCACCCCCGGCTGACACTGATGAACCGACCGACCTTGTTCCCCGAAGCCCAGGATGCCAGCTGCGGCCCTGCAGCGGAGAGCTGCCGAAAGCTGAAGGCCGCAATCCCGGTGTCCAACTCGGAGCCGAGACTTTTACACGCAGGGAGTTTGGCAGGGAGGATGCCGGGGTTTAATTCAAACCCTATTTATGCGCGGCTCAAGGTACTGTAGTTCCTCTATGACACACGGCTTCTTTACAGGCAGCAACATGCCGATTAATAAATATGGACACGATTGTCACTGTTATCATAAGGGGCTCTGTGTATTTTGTGTCTGTGTTTATCTGTGCTCGTGGGTGTGTGTGTGTGTGTCTGTGTGTGTGTGTGTGCATTCACCAATGTGGGAAAAGCTCCTATCAACGTGTATTGCTATGTTATCCCTGTTTGTTTACACTGTTATGAATTACTTTAAAAATAAATTTACGACACGCACACGTTAGTTGCGCCGCCTGTTGCGTTTCTGTTCTTGGGGTCCTGCATCGCGTGCAGGTGGTGCAGCTCCAGCCGAGGCAGCACTCTGGTCTGTCGTGGGCGCGGGGTGGATGCAGGGTCCGGTCACCCAGCTTGTGGCGAGCCCCGGGGAGCTGGGAGGCACGGGGGTGACCTCAGCAGGCACCACCCCTGCGCCCGGCCACGCGGGACCCCCAGCCCGCGGCTCCCCGACAAACCCCAGGGGCCAGCCCCGGCCACGCGGGACCCCCAGCCCGCGGCTCCCCGACAATCCTCAGGGGCCGGCCCCGGCCACGCGGGACCCCCAGCCCGCGGCTCCCCGACAATCCTTGGGCCGGCCCCGGGCAGCACTGATTCATGCGGCTGGACAGGGGATGGGCGCCTGGGGTCCCGAGGAGGGGCGGCCTGTGAGCCCTGCCGCGTCCGTGGCAGCTCCAGCGACACCCCCCGAACCGAGGGGGGCTGCGTCACGGCCTGCCGCGTGGAATTGTGGGAGGAGACCCGACACAGCGTTAGACGCGTGGAGAGCGGGATGTGCGGAAGAATGCGCGGGTGCCGAGGGAGGAGCTGTTCGCCTCTTCACAGCCCAGGTGTCAGCACCCAGATCCTCGGCCTCGCCGGCGCCTGTGTGGCCTTGGGTGAGTCACAGGCCCCTCCCCGGCGTGCCGCTGTCACGTGATGAGTGGTGGCAGGCCACGGAGGTGGCGCCGCCCACGGCTGGCCCCTCAGATGCACAGGGCCAGGGCGCCCGTCACCAATGCTGTGCTGCCGGCTCTGGCGCATGTGTATCGTGGCCTCCGTGTTGGAGGAGGAGGAGGATGTGCAGTTACATAAGTCAGGTAACGAGGACTTCTCGTTGGACACTGACCCCCCCCCCTTGCTCTCTCCCAGTGTTTCCCTCCCATTCCTGCCCACCAGTTGTATAGTTCGTTTTCCACACAGTGTCCGGTGAGGATGCTGCAGCATTTGTCCACCCTGGGTCCCCGCATTGCTGCCGTCTTATTGCTTTACTAAGTGTATAACCATTTTAAATTTTGTCCTACTGTGTGCCTTTTTCTAAGCTTATTTGATTTTTTTTCTTTTTTTTTGTCTGGGCCTGGGCGCTGTCCCTCAGCTCTTCAGCTCAAGGCTGGTGCTCTACCGCTTGAGCCACAGAACCACATCTGGTTTTCTAGTGGGTTTATTGGAGATAAGAGTCTCACGAACTTTCCTGCCCAGGCTGGCTTTGAACTGGGATCCTCAGATCTCAGCCTCCTGAGTAGCTAGGATTACAGGCATGAGCCACCGATGCCTAGCTTTTCTAAGCTTACTTGAATATTTGAGGAGTATACTTCAAATAAAGGATTCAGAGTGGGTGTGGCTGCTCAGATGGAAGGTTTTCATTGAACTCTAGGTTGTTTTCCACTTGTAACAGTCCATCCTTACTGTACTGGGAAACAGCTCTGATGCATGAACTTTGATGCTATGAAGTTTCTCATGACCTCATACTGTTGTTATTTCTCCTGTGTATTTGTATAAGATTTTGAATGTCCTTCGTACCCTTCATCGCTTGCCTACTTGGTTGGGCCACGCAGGAAGGCAGGGCTGACCAGATGAGGTTCTGCTCTAGGAACTTATCCCAATGTGACCTTATTAGTGAGAGACACTGTTGCTGTACCCATTTTGCAGATAGAAAGCCAAGGCAGAGATGAAGTTGTGCTAGCCAGGAGTAAATGAAATCACTTGTGCTGTAGAAACTTGCCAGTCAGATGGGCCAGTAAAACAGCCTCGTTGTCTAATCTACAGTTGATTGGAAAGAAATAAGAAATTTATATTTCACACAGGAATTGTTGGCATCTGATTAGCGCGACTTGGAGAAGGAACTTGTCCCTGCTCATCCTTTGCCTCCAAGACTCAGTGTGACCCTCGTGCGCTATTTTATCTGCCTGTTGAATTCCTGCAATGAAACCTGTGCAGGCTCATCTGACACTGTTAACCGCTGTGCTCCGTCCATCCTTCTTTAATGCTAAACAGTTTGCCTCTGTCACTTCCCAGGGCAGGAAACTGAGGCACACACAGAGGGAAGGAGCCTGTGACCTCTTCCAGAAGACTCCTGAGTTCCCACAGTGTGTTTCTGAGCATCTGCATTGAGGTAACCGTCTTTGTGCTCTTCTTTCTGGCACTTGGCCATTTTCCGGGCCGGTGGGAGCGAGCCGAGGCGCTCTTGAGAACAAGAACGGGGTCCTTGCATCCATGCTCAGCGTGGGACTTAAGTTTGTTTTCGAGAACCAGCAGCCAGGCGGGGCTGAGGAGCCGGCCTTCCTAGAGGAGCAGCCATGGCTGTGTCCTTGCTGGGCCCTGCAGCGGGGCTGAGCTCCGTGGAGACCCAGACTCTTCCTGGCCTCAGACGGACGGAGGCGGGAGGTGGAGGGCTCTGGGTTTGGGGAGACGAGGGGGGATGGGCACGGGCCGCCTCCACCTGCCCTGAGGGAGGGGCGGGGCGGGCGGCGGCATTTACACCCGCCCATCAGAGATGCCCGGGTCCCCCGTGGCGTCCTGCTCGGGACTCTGCCCACGGTGGGAACCACAGCTCCCGGGAAGGGACCAGGTGACCCTGCAGTGAGGCCAGCTGAGAAAACATCCCGTCCCCAGTTGTCGGGCCTGCGGGACGGGATGGAAAGTGTCAAGTCACCAAAGTCACCTTGCCTGCAGTGCCAGAGCAGAGAGGGACTCGGGGGCCACAGGCGTGCGTGACAGGCCTGTGTGTGAACAGGCGTGTGTGTGTGTGTGTGTGCGCGCGCGTAAGCAAGCTGACAGCGCTAGGCTGGGGCCAGACAACCAGCAGCCCTGGCGCGGCCCGGGAGAGGAGACGGAAAGCCGCGCTGCCCGCCCCCGGCGCCGCCCGGCCGGTGGAGGCGGGAGAGGACGCTGCGAGGAAGTGGAATAGAGGGGGCGGCGCCCGAGCCCGTGGACAGGGAGGGGTGGACGGCCTGTCCTCACACAGACAGATGGTTCCCCACGCTTTCAGCCGCCGGCTCTTCCTTCTCGACTCCCCGCTCCTTTGAGGGCTCATGAACTCCACATCCGCGGCGGAAATGGAACCGGTTGGGGTTTTTGTTGTTGTTGTGTGAATGTTTCTTGGAAGATGGCGTCTGGGAAGCTGGGCTTAGTCTCGGCGCCTGCTGTCCGCGGGGTGGTTGGAGCGGTGGGACTGTGGAAGTTAGTGAAGTTTCTTATTTTCCTGGTGAGGAGTTGGCAGCGTCGTTGGAGGTCTGGTCCTGCGCTTGGGCCCGGGCTCCCGTGGGAGTCCGCTCTCGTTCTGTCAGGGCTGCTACGTGGCGTGTTCTGGAACATCGAGGGGTCATGATCACCCAGCGCCCCCTGTGGATTGCAACGCCCTGAAAAATGTTCTCCTGTCTCCAAAATTACCTGCCTCCGACTCCATTCTCCATGCTTCTGTGAGAGAATTTTCTAGCATGCCCATGTGAATTAGGTCGTGTTCTTAGGATAAAGAGCCGCGTGCCAGCGCTTCACTAATGGCCCTCGCCGCCCCTGGCATTCTGGACTGGGACTCGCGCTTAGACCGTGCCCGGCGCTCTGCCTGTCTGCCCGGTGTCAGCGTCCGCTTTGTGCACGTGGGATTCATTTGTCTGGATCACCCTCCTCTTCCTGCCTCGGACAAC